GAGGCTCTCTGCTAGGAAGGATGGCTGGATTCCTGGAACCCTGCTCTGGAGGGAAGTGAGCAAGCAGAGGCTGGCAGGTTGTGAGGAGGAGGATTTTACTGGAGTGTAGACTTTGTTTTGATTCAGTTGTGTGCTGATTAAAGTTAACAAAAATGTAAGATGGATGTCATGCCCAGCTAATGGATTGAGTTCCATGAATTAATTGACAAAGAGCAGTATTTTTTTTGGCGGGGGGAATGACTGCATGGCAAATGCATTTCTTCAGATAACCGTCTCTGGTTTCCATGGTGATCTTACTTCTGCTTGTTAAAGGTATTTTTAAGACTCTTTCACATTATTTGAAGTATTGCTAAAAGCTGGTACTTCAGGACTATCTCAGCTGTTGAATGCCTGCATCAACATATTGCGTCTGGCAGTGAAATTCAAGGAGTACAAATTGGAAGAGGAGCAAAAGTAATTTTTGCTGCTCTGAATCAGACTAATGGACTCTGATGACATTTCATGGTCAGAGAATGTTACGGTTTGCAGATTCAGTGAACTTGAACCACAATAAAGGCTAGAAGGACTTCTGGACAGGATGCTGTGGTGAACCATTGTATTTAATTTCTCAGTGTACTTCTGTACAACTTAATGTACGGTGTGGCTGCTTATCTATGATGTTTCTCAATTTAAAAAAAAAGTAGGGGATGACCATGTATACCAACCATGGTATACAGTACATGGAAATTTATTGAATGTTGATAGTTATGATAATAACAGGATAAAATGAACTCTGACTTGGCAGGCTTTAAACATGCTTCTAATGTGAAAAAAGCTGCTTCTCATGCAGTGGTTACTTTTAATATTTCACATTTCTTTTTTACTTGGAGAAATGGTCAAAGGCACAGATGAGCTCCTTGTGGGCAGCAGCTGAGGTTTGTTTGGCTTGGAGGAGAGAAGGCAGAGGGGTGACCTCATTTCAGTCTACGCCTTCCTCAAGGGGCGAGCAGAATGGGAGGTGCTGATCTCCTCTCTCTGGTGACCAGCAATGGGACACGAGGAAATGGAATCAAGCTGCACCAGGGGAAGCTCAGATGGGACATTAGGAAGGGGTTCTTCACTGAGAAGGTGATTGGTAACTGGAAAAGAAGAGAAAAGAGAGAAGTGGTCACCCTGACAGGGTTCAGGGAGTGTCTGGATGATGCTCTTAGTCTTGAGTCTGCAGTCTTGAGGGAGCCAATGAACCTCACTGGGCCCCTTCCAGCTTCAGCTCTTCTATTCTAAGCTTGGTTATTATGTCCTGCTCAGTCTGTGTACTGAGAAGGTTGTCAAATAATGTCAGGTGTTGTAAGGGTTTTATGTAGACACAGCTCACTCTTTGAGAAGACCAAAGATATGCTTTTCTTTTTTGAATTAAAAACACTTCATCTTTCTGCATTAGTGGTGGAACTTGGCAATATGGGATATGCTTTGTGACATGTGGTTGTTTATAAATGACACTCATGTTCCTGACAGTATTGACTTATAGGAAATTGCAAGATGTTGCATTTTCCATCTGCTTGTTCACTTCAATTTTTCTTGGATGCTTCCCACCTAACCAGTTACAAACCCCATGGGAAGTTTGGATCCAAGGTTATGTAGCACTAGACCAGTTATCCAGCAGAAACCCTTCTGAAACTAACCTGTGGTAGAAGATGACAGCTTTGCCCACTGTGAGGATGTGCAACAGCCCAGTACAGTTGTAACCTAAGGAGATTAAATTTTTCCTAGGTTCATCAGTGAATGACTAATACATGGAGAATGGAAAAGAGCCTCTAGATATTGTGAAAAGATTCAGAGCACAGCTGCTATTCAGAGCACAATTGCTTGTTGAATTGCCTTGTTGCCTGGAACAGTGTTATCCTCTTCCATGAAAAGGATTTGCTGGGGAAAATTGAGGAACAATGAAATGGGAAATGTTGCAAATTGTTCCAAATATTCTTATATTTAATACCATGCAAAGTTTCTGGTGTCATTTTTTTTCCTCTGCTTTGGGATGCATGAAGGGAAATACTTGATTTGAAGGCATTGGCACAAAGATCTAACAGTCTATACTAAAGCTGATCTGGTTCATTAGAGCAGTTTATTAATATATAAATCATAGCTGCAAATGAAAAAATAAAGTTTCCCTGAGGGATATTCCCTGGCTAATTTTCCAGTGTCCCAAGTGGACGCTTCTGTCTGCTTATCATTTTTTGTCTTTCAGGCTGATTTTATTTTATCTGTTTAAAGAGTTCCTCCTCGTCTTTGAACCAATACTTTTTTTACACTTCATTCTTCCCATTTAAGATCAGTCAGAACCAGAGCTAATTTCATTTCCTTGTGACTCTCTAATGTATAAATGACAATATGACATAATTTGTAGAAGTAATTGAATAGTGAGAATACAGTCTTGAATAAAGCTCCTCTGCAGGACCCCAGAGAGTAGCTCAGTAGTTCTCTAGAGGCTTCTGAAGTATTAATGAAAACACTTCTGATTTCTTTTAGTTTTCCATTCTTCATTTTTAAATTCTAACGAAGGTTCTAACTTGCTTTGGAATTAATTCTATAAAATCACTGCAATTGAAACTACATGAAAGATCTGAATTCATTTAAAACCAACAAAAACACACACAAAAAAATCTTGGTCTCCCCCCTCTCCAGGGCATTGTGAAAATATATTATTACTGTTAGAAGGACTTTCTAATAGCTGGAGAGTTGGAGATACTTTTGAAAGCAAGTGGTTTGATTGACTGAGTATCTCCTAGCAACTTAGAAAGCTTTAAATACAACTGATTGAATGCTGCCTGAGGAATACATTGGAGCCCAAAGCACCTGCCAAAACCAGGTGATGATTCCTTTCTTTAAAATACATCAGATAGTAGAGATGCAGATCAATATTTTGTCAGTATCAAAAAGGAATTTGCATAAGACACATGACAAAATATATAGAAAATTGAATTCCAAATGACATTCAGGTACTGCAGACTAAAATAGGAAGACTTTGAGGTAGATTTTAAAGTTAATATTGCATGCTCCTGTTTAAACAGTGCTGTTTTGTCAAGAATCAGCACTAGACTTTTTGCTAGCTCTTTGTATTTGCGACTTGGTATACACATTGGCCATGTGAACAACAATATGATCTTGCTGCTATTTTACATGGACATCCATAGGAAAACTCTACTTGACACATAGAAGCTTGGGGTTTTTATTGATTGGAGGAGAAATCAAGGCAAAGAATGATAATGTCAACAGAGAAGTGTTGGGAGACTGCAGCTGCTTTTTTCATGTCTCGGTCAGCAGCTTAAGATGCTGTTTTCTCTCATTATGTCTATTTGTAGGTAACCTACAAAAACTCTAACAAATCTGCCACATAAACCAATTACACTTCAACTCAAAAGAACTTCTGGTAAGTGTCAACAATATAGAGTATCCAGAACGTGGCTGTTGATATGGTCTGCAGTAAGAACAGTTAACTTTGCTTGGAGGTGGGAAGCTAAACTCTACTTTGCATGGTGTCCAGCTGCAGAGAATAAATGGAATTGTCTTGTTGAGCAATATTTGTATGCTGGTAGCTGTGCTTTGACTGATCTGGTGGTACTGCACAGTACAGCTTTGGGAAAAATAAAGGAGAAAAATAATGTCTGTGAAGTCAGGGAAATCTGGGATCAGGTTACACGATGTTGTTACATGATGCTACATGAGTTTGCCCCACTCAGCTGTGCTAGCAGAGATCCTTCTCTCCATAGATCAGAGGGCTGAAGCACTTGATCTAGACGGGAGAGTTGGGGTTGTTAAGCCTGGAGAAGAAAAGGCTACAGGAGAGCTGGCTGGATTTTTTTACAAGGGCATGTAGTGTTACGACAAGGGGACATGGCTTTAAGCAGAAAGAGGGCAGGTTTAGATTAGATATTAGCAAGAAACTTTTTACTGTGAGGGTGGTGAAACACTGGAACAGGTTGCCCACAGACACTGTGGATGCCTCATCCCTGGATGTGTTCAAGGCCAGATTAAATGGGACTTTGAGCAACCTGGTCTAGAAGAACAGATCACTTAATTTAGTCTTGTGCTGTTGCTGTGTAAGATAGAATCATAGGGAAATTTGTGATGGAGAACTTGTGTCTGTCATATGATATTTCTTTCTGAGCTTTGAAAGGAATGCAATGATAAGGGAAAAAGACTGTCATAGCTAATCCTTTATTTTTTTCTGTACTTCTGTTTCACTGCTATCCATCCACCCTATTCGAAACAAATGTGTAGAGCTTGAATACCCGAATCAGCAGGTTGTATTCTGTGTATACTTCTGTGAAGTTATGTGCACCAAGTCTTTTTTTTTTCTGTTCTGCTTGTCCCATTTGTTTTGTCATTATGTACGTAGAAAATGTCTTGGGGGAGGGGGGAAAGGTAGATTTCTTCTGGATGTGGCTTTACACAGGCCTGTCTGTGCCACTGAAGTGGTCAGTGAAAAGAAAAGCTGCTGTGATCCTCTTACAAAAAGATTAAAATGACATGTTTATATTTATAGTCATATTTATATTATATATTTCTATTTATACTGTGTCTGTATTTACTTAGTGTATTTTTACCTTTAAAAAAGAATTCTGTACTATTTATTAAAATATGAAGAGTTTAGCCAGTTTCTGTATTTGAATACTCGGGATGGACTATTTGATGCAGGAATCAACATAAGTATCTAAAAATATGGTTTGGATAGTTTTCTTAGGCACTTGCCTCTGAAATCCCCTAATTAATTAATTACCAGAAGCTGGGAAGGGATAGCTGGGTTGTAATTGTTTTCAGCCTTCTGATTCATAAAGCCACTAGCCCTTACAGACTTCCTAATTTGAGCAGCATCATGATCCAAATCAGTGATACCTGGCAAGCTCCAAACAATTATTTTCATTTGCAATACTGGGGAACATTCGAATCTTATAGACTGGGCCTGGGGTTAGTTGTTTGTTTGTCTGTTTTCCTTTTTTAATGCTTCCTATCTCTACTCGCAGGTAACATCATGGTGCTGTGGTCAACGTGCAGAACATCACTTCTTAAATCTGTAACAAACCGGTTCATTAAGAATTTGGCCTGCTCGGGGATCTGTGCCAGCCTAGTCTGTGTGCCTTTTGACATTGCTCTTAGTGCCAGTCCACACTGCTGCTGGTGGATCTATACGATGCTCTTCTGCAGAATTGCCAAGTTTCTGCACAAAGTCTTCTGCTCAGTGACCATCCTTAGTTTTCCAGCCATTGCTCTTGACAGGTAATTGGGGAAAATTTGCCATGATCCTGGGTTTTTCTTTCTTCTTTCTCCCTTTGTCTTGATAAATGTGGTATCACTATCTGTAATGCTCACCAATGTTGCCACTGGAACAGCATATCATTTGCTCTTCTCCAAGAAAGCTAGTGATTTGCCTCACAAAAAGCACAAACTCCTACCACTTATAATGATAAGTGTGAAAAATCAGGTCTGTCATGAAAATTCTGTGAGCTTAAAAGTCCACATCAGTACTCCAGTAGTAAGCAAACAATTAATGTCTGAAATTTGAAGTGCATGTCAGAGATGCACTTTATTTTTTTTTTAAATGCACACAGAATGTTCAGTGTTCAGCAACACTTTTGCTCAGGGCTTGCCAACAACATCTTGTGCAAAGCAAAACACTATTGTACTTCCAATAGATGGATACATGTAATTTGTCACCAACAGCTTTTTCCAAATATCCAGAAAAAATATTTTATAGAGCCACTTTTTAAACTATGAGTCTGGCCTTTGAATGTGATATGTGCCTCCACCATGTCTTTTGAAATTTTGAGTGTATGCAATGTACTGTCTAGTTTACAAATAAGTAAATGGTAAAATCTTCAAAATAGTACTTGTATGTATCAGCCAAAGTGATGTATTGAAAGAAATTTTCACCACCAAAATATTCAAATTTTTTCTACAGACAGACCTGCAAAGGCAGACCTTTGGGGTTTTTTTTTGTGTAGGCTTTCTTTTCCTTTCAGAAACAGGTAGTCAGTTGGCAACCCAGATAGGCATTTGGAATGTTATGCTCAGATGGTTCCTGAGAGGTTTCTCTTAAGCAGTATGTGCACAAAAATAATAATAATTTTTTTTTTTACAGATACTACTCTGTTTTATATCCTCTGGAAAGAAAAATATCTGATGCAAAATCCCGAGACCTGGTTATCTATATCTGGGCCCATGCAATAGTGGCCAGCATTCCAGTATTTGCTGTGACCAACGTGTCTGATATTTATGCTATGTCCACCTGCTCTGAATCTTGGAGTTACTCCCTTGGCCTCCTGATCTATGTCATCATCTATAATATCACCACTGTGATTGTACCGGTGGCTGTGGTGTTTCTCTTTATGATTCTTATTCGCAGAGCGCTGAGTGCCAGCCAGAAGAAAAAAGTCATCATAGCTGCATTAAGGACCCCTCAGAATACAATTTCTATCCCATATGCCTCCCAGCGAGAAGCTGAGCTCCACGTCATGCTGCTTTCTATGGTTATGATATTTATCTTCTGTAGTGTCCCCTATGTGACTTTGGTGATTTACCGCACCATACTCAACATTTCAGATATTTCAGTCTTCTTGCTCCTCACTGCTATTTGGTTGCCCAAGGTCTCTCTGCTGGCCAACCCTTTGTTATTTTTAACTGTTAACAAATCAGTACGGAAGTGCTTAGTGGGGACAATAGTACAGCTGCACCGAAGGTTTAGCAGGAGAAACATTGTCAGCTCCAGTGGTACTGCAGATGATAATCTGGAGCCCAGTGTCCATTCAGGAAGCCAGCTTCTGGAGATGTTTCATATCGGGCAACAACAAATCTTCAGGCCGACAGAAGATGAGGAGAATGAGACCAAATCCGTTGGCTCTGGTGACTTTCAGAGGAAAGAAATTCCTATCACCAGTTTGGAGCTAGGACAGACTTCAGTTCACAGGTTTATACCACAGACTATTGCAGACTCTGCAGCTCAGGTGGCCCCGGCTGTGCTCACAGAAGCTGATACAGTAAATGACAAGTATTCCATGCAGTTTGGTTTTGGACCCTTTGAGCTGCCTCCACAGTGGCTCTCAGAAAGCAGGAACAGTAAGAAGCGACTCCTGCCTCCTTTGGGAAATACCCCTGAAGAACTAATCCAGACAAAACAGCCTAAGTGTAAAGCAGAAAGAAAAGTCAGCAGAAACAATAAAGTCAGTATCTTTCCCAAGGTGGATTCTTAGTAAGAGCAAGAGCTTTAAGTGACAGAGGAAGGTCACTTTCTATTACATGTTTGATCCCATGGATCTTTATTATGTTGAAATTTGTTACAACCTGATTTTTTTTGCCAAATATAAGTTAAACGAGCAAACAAAAGAAAAACATATATACAAGTGTTCCTTATTAATATGAAATAATTAATGGAAATAATACATCAAATATATATGGAAATTTGTAGTTTGATCTCTGAAATTCTTAAAGTGATACCTTGTTACTAACTTTCAAAAGTGCATATAAATTTGGGAACTCTTTTTATGGCTGAGTTATGGAAATACAGCAGTCAGTTTTCTGGGAAACATTATGTTGTATTAAAATGGACTGGGCATCAAAGTAACTTAACAGGAAAGGCTGTAGAGAGAGCAGAAGATATGCAGCATGGTAAGTCCTACTCTCCTGCAAATAGACACAGCAAGATTATGCATATTTCATTAATGAAGCAGGATGGACTATTAAGTGCATTTGTTTTCTGTTACACGCATTTATTTGATCAGTGTTAAAACTTGCTGGATTTTTTTGCACAAATTAATTACCAAACATCTGCCAAACATCTAAAGTATTTTAAAACCTAAACCACTGTTTTCTGGCTTAAAACATCCACAAAGCCAAGAATACCCAAATCATCATGCGTGTTAAACCTGAGAAAGACCTCTTTTTATAAAGAGTCCATATATATTCTTGTAGTTTTAAGTAAAACCTGGATTGGAGACCACGCAGGACAAATCCTGACTCCAATGAACAAATATATATGTGCTAAGAATCCTGTGATAAAGGGCATATACAAATGTCCCTAATGTGTAATGTATGTATTAAGTAACTAAGGGGTAAGCCTTGAAATAAACTTGGCTGCTGGCGCACTCTACTGTTTCCTTATGGGAAAGCTAGCAAATGAAAGAAACGGGTATGAAATGGCAGTGGCCTTTCTCTGAGTGTGACAGTCTCAGTTTCTGAGTCTGTCTCTCACTCTCAACACAGAGGGAGGCCCAGAGAGAGGGATTCTGAATGTTTCAATGACAACTGAACTGTCGGGTGAATAAGCTGGCAACAGACCAAAAAGGCCATGGTTCATTAATGCTGTTGCTCAATATTGCCAGAGGTAGAGAAGTTTTCCTTCTATCTTCACAGATACAGATACCAACCCTCCTGCTCCCCTCGTCTTGCAGAGCAGACCACCCAGTGTATGAACATAAGCCTTTCAAATCTGGAGCCTAATTCCTGAGTGAGTCAGTCATGCCAGCCCTGGTATCAGCTCAGCAGCCTTTCTGTGAGAGTTCAGGCATTGTGCTGCAGCTTGCCTCTCTACATAATAACAGGCATATTTTCTCATTTATACTGAATGTGCTTTAAACTATATCTGTCTGTTAGGTGACCTAAAACTATTGCAGCCCTGACATTTCAGTTCTTGTTCAGTTTCAAGCAGTCTTTCATCTGCACTCACTGTTGTCTTTGTGGGTAGTTTCTTAAAAGCACAGTCTCGTAACACCTGTTTGCTCCTTGTGGTTTTCCTGTCCTTCAGCCCTTTGGTGCATGCTGAACCTGTATCTGTGATTACTGTCTGTTTATGAAAGTAGTTTTCTTTAAAGCATACTTTAAAAGGGACAAGGTGAAGAATCTTGACAAGTTCACAGTAACCTACTAAATCCAACCAGTTAATCTTAAAAGTGAGAAAAAATTCTGCTAAAGCAGAGTGTACCTTTTCTTCCTTTCACGTTTGAAGGAAGTCACCAGCTTCTGATGGCTCCAAGGTTGTGGATTTCTATAGGTCATTAAAAGCAAATGTTTTAATAAAAATGTATTTAAAGAAAAGTGCATAAATTAGTGTGTAAAACATGTTTTTCTCCGTTTCTTATTTGGTTTCAGTGCATTTCATTTCTTGCTAGCTCAAGAGCTTCTCAGCTTGGGAGTGAGGAACAGTTTTCAAGGGGTCCAGATGGGTGGTGGGAGCTCGAGCTGCCCTTCTTAGGTACAGAGATGAGAAGACAGACATAGCTTGCCTGAAATCAGACAGAAGAAAGATTCCAGAAAAAATCGGTCCTTATGTTTTCCAGTGTCAAACACGGGAAAAAAAAAAATCAAGTCCTGTTATAACATCACTTTAAAGTTACACAGAAGTGAATTCTGGGGTGTTTTTTTTTTGGTCTTTTTGTTTCTTTGTGGTTGTTTTTAACCACCACAGGTGTTGGTAAGGGAAATGTTTCTTTCTACATTACTGAAGAACAAAAGTTAAATAAAAAGCAAAGCAGTGGGAATTTAAGAAGAAAAACCCTGGGGTAATTTGGTCAGTTCAAATGGATTTAAAGGCTAAATCTTACTACTGGAGAATAAACTTGGAGTTAGGAAAGTTAGAACCCATTATTCTAGCACTTAAGGGAGAAAATAGAGCTCATGTTAAACAAATGAGGAAATAGTTTAAGAAGGATGAAAAGACTACAAGGACAACGTCAATATATTGTTTATATTGTTCTGAGATATCCTTAAGAAATACTGTTAAATTCAAACAAACATCATGTAAAAATTAAAAAAAAGCCCCAAACCAGAATGAAATAAAAACCCAAAACTATCCTTCAGTATTAAATAATGCTGTGTTGGTAGAATACTTAAAAAATGTATTCTGCCCTTCTCTGTAAGGAGAAAGTGGACCATTTTATTATGGACTATTAAAGGAAGCATAAGAAGTACCAAATGAGATCCACATCCTGAATATACATTTGTTAATGCAAACCAGGGTTTCTCCATCAGCAATTCTGCATCCCAAGGTTCCCTATAGCTAAGCATAGTGCACTGGGATGGTGATTTACTCTGGAAACTCCTTTGTGCACACCACTTGCCTATGCAGTACTGTGCCTTCTTGGCCTCCATGTCTGTAACACTAAACCCTCTGCATTTTGCCTGGATCACTTCCTAAGCCACAGAAGAAGGTCCTGAGAGCCTTGCAGGATTGGATTGTTTGGGCTGCCTTGCAGTTGTTTGGTAGCAAACTCCGAGGATACTGCACCCCAGAGCATGGAGAGATTTCAGCCCAGCACAATCCATCTCTTGATCTCCTGCTTCCCACACTCCGCCCTTGTCCTGCAGCAGAAGGTGTGGCAACACTGAAGGCAGTCTTGTCAACACAGGAGCTTGTCCAATGCAAGTCAAAGGATTAATACCTGGCTTTAATAAACAACAGCAGTTTTACCATTGGCTCTGGACTTAGCATTTAGTTTGGGCTGTCTCCCTCAGCTGACAGGTTACTGTGCTCTATCACTATTGCTAATGGAGCACACTGCACAACTCTACTCATCCTCACCAAGGGTTTCTGGAAAAAATTCAAAATTCATGGCTCTTTGCCCTTGACTTGGTACATGCCAGTCAAAAGATACTAATACATAATCACTTGTCGTTTGCAAGAAAATAGTCTGTTTATTGCCCTAACCTTTAGAAGAATTAATATTGTGAATATTAGCTGTGCTTGTCCTAATCTGAGTACTGGAACCGCTACAGTCTGCCTTCGAAATATTGCCTATGGTAAATAAAAGATACTTCAGGTGAGTACACAGAAAGATATAAAAAATAATCAAAGGTAAATAACTAATGAGCATTTTAAAACTCTTGATTTTTTTCTCCAACATGTATGAGACAATGAAATAAAAGTGTTTTGGCTACCTATTAAAAAGCTTTTCATAAGAAGAGTATGAAGGTAAGCAGTAGTAATTGGGAACAAGTTCTCTGTATGTCCCCTGTTGTTTATATTTCTGTTTGATTGGTTCAGGAAGAAAAGGATAAATAAATTCTGTTACTATGACAACTGTGTTCTGAGTATCAAAACAGATTGTCTAAATGTGATTTCATCATGTTATAACCTATCTTTTAGGATGAAAAGCACATCTTGGGAGTGCTTTTCTTGCTGTCCACATCCAAGACACAAAGAGTTTTTTCCATTCCAACCTTTTTTTTTTAATACTTCAATGAACTATCTAGTCTATCTTAGAACAAAATTGACCTGTTCCTGGAAAGGCAAAAAAAGAAAGCACACCCTTGATTCTGCTTTTCTAGTTCAAGCTTCACTATAAGTACACCTGCTACCTATAGCAATATTTGAGATTATGTAATATTTAATGTTATTAACAAAGTTAAGTCCTTATTGGAGAGGAAGACTCTTATGACCTGATATACAGGATTTGAGATGAAGTCTACAAACCTCTTCATCTCTGGGTCTTCAAGGTCACATAGCAGGTGATAAGATCAACTGTGGTTTGAGATATCCCTGCTAGGCCATTATTACTCCTCAATCTAAGGTCTTACAGCCTCATTGGAAACCTTCACTGGTTCTATGTGGACAAGCAGCAGTAAGAAGCCTATTCCTGCACCAATTTCAGAGGAGTTTTATGTCCATTTGTAACCAGACCCAGAGCCATTTGGTCTCCTTTCAAAGGCTCTTGTGAGGCTGTAGGCAGTCTGTAATAGGAAAGTTGTTAACAAGTCAAACTGTCAGCTGTTAAGCATATGCATTGTACTGTAGGAAAAAAAAAATAAAAATATTGGGGCAGTTACACCTAGCTGCTTGCCATACCTCATTATGCATAGCTAATGTAATTCCTAATACAAGACCCCCATATTTTAGTTTAGCCAGTTGGGAATTATATTGTCCATTCTACTGCCTTCTCATTGGAATTACTGGCCTTAGATATTCAGCTTGCACATGTAAATACACATTCTTCTATTTTTTTTTGCTTCAAATTGTCATCTGCACCATCTGGAAAGCACCACAGGTTCAAAACACCACTATGGTATTGCATTAGCAATCACAAGACATTAAAATTTTAATGTACCAGAGCTCAATATGCTTAGGGAGGAGGCAAAATCCCACAGGGTTCACTACTGCATTTTCTCTGTTTGTCTTCAGTTCTTAACTGTGAAACACATTGCATTGTTTCTACACTAAATACCAGGAAAAATTGTTCTTTTAGGGGCACATGTGACAGTAAAACACCGTATACTGTAAGCATCAATAAAACCTCTACTGCAGACGGCAGTACATAATATCACTAGCTAAGTAAGATTTATTTTGGCATAAAACCGCGTCGATCAAAACCTTACTTTGAACGAGATGCACTTTGTTTCTTCAGAAGAAACTGTTTATTGTGAATTTTTACTGCCAATGAAAACCTGGTTTTAACACACATGGGTATCAAAGGAAGCAGTAGCAGCCCAGAATTGTCTCTGCCGGGATTTTTTAGCTAATCGGACCATGGTAATTAGTCCTCACATTTTGTTTAAATGCAGGGAAGATAAAAAGGGATAGGATTAGGAAGGCAATCAAGCTCCCCTTATTAACTAATTCCTTATTGAGTATTCACGTAAAAACAGTGACCACAGTAATAAATTCTAACGGGTTTATTTAAAAGCGTTTCAACTATCCTTGTGTGCGAGCATGACACAACGCAGAAGCCAAGACTAGGTATAGAACACCAATAACCACCAACTGCTGGGAAGGAGCAGCACAGGAACTTTTCTTTCCTGTCGCTCAAGCGGGAGCGGCACGGGGGATGCTCGGAGAAAGAGGCGCCCTGCAGGCAGCGCTGCTCTCTACCAGCACGGGGAGGGCTCGGGCACGTCCGGATCCCTGGGAACGGAGCGGGAACGGAGCGGGAGTGCACCGGGAACAAACAGAGCGGGGAGGGAGCGGGAACGCACCGGGAACAAAGAGAGCGGGGACGGAGCGGGGACGGACCGGGAACGCACCCGGAGCAACCAGAGCGCGCGCAGCCCGGGCACCGCCGGGACCGCGCCGGGACAGCCCGCGGCTCTCGCGAGACTTCCCCGGCCTGGTTGTCACGGCAACGGCGGCGGCGCCCGCTGCTGCTGCCCTCCCGCGGTAAGGACGGGGCTCCTGCCTCCCTACCTGCCTCTCTGCTTTCCTCTCTGCCTGCCTGCCTTCCTCTTTGCCTTGCTTCCTCCCTGCCTTCTTCTCTGCCTTCTTTCCTCCCTGCCTCCCTCCCTCCCTACCTTCTCTCTGCTTTCCTCCTTGCCTCCCTCCCTCCCTCTCTGCCCTTCTTCCTCCCTGCCTGCCTTCCTCCCTCTCTACGTTCCTCCCTCTCTCCCTGCCTTCTTTTCTGCTTTCCTCCTTGCCTCCTTGCCTTCCTCTCTTCTTTCATCTCTGCCTTCCTGCCTTTCTGCTTTCCTCCCTCCCTCCCTCCCTCCCTGAAATAAATGCTGGTATTCACTACTGAAATAAAGACTTGTATTCACTCGAGCCTTCTGAGAGTCGCCAGCACGTGTCATAACGCTCACACTGAGATGTCTAATTCCCGGGAATTCACACAGGGGTTTTTTTGCAGAGCAACGTGCGTAACTGTGGTTTAAACTCAAAATTGAACTGAGGTTGGGAATGTGAACGTTTAGATTTAGGAACTTCCCATTTGAACATGAGTAGCGTTTGGCTGGTTTAGTTGTGTACAAGATGTGTCTAAAACGCTCTCATTATTTTGTTGGTGCTAACTTTGTCAGTCCAATGATTAAAAAGAAAAAGAAGAGTTGCGATAATTCCCCTGTTGTGAGATTACTTGTAAGATATATATCATTCAAAGTGTCTTTGATAGTAAGCACGTTTGAATACTTTGGTTGTCTTGATGACATAAATATAAATATAAATATAAATATAAATATAAATATAAATATAAATATAAATATAAATAATATAAATTTGTATGTATATTAAAAAACACATACTTGAGTGGCAAGCCTGTCTAAACTGGAAGAACCTTGCAACATGGAGTTGCTAGAAAGCATTTGAAATGTACATGATCTATATCTGAAATATTGCAGGGCTTGTAGTGCTTTATTACTAAACTATTCATTTGAAATGTTTTTGCTGATTTTTCCCAATTTTAGGTAACAGTAGATATTATAAGTGGGAGCTTGGATGAAATTTCAAGACCTGCACCTAGCTCAAGACCTAATTGTATATCTTTAAATACAGTTATGGAGTTATTAACACAAGAACCATGTTTGCAAAAGGTAATTTTTCTCTCCTTCAGCAGGTTAAAACCTCCATGCCTAATTCTTCATAGTAGAAGTAATATTCTGCTATTCTGCTTTTTTAGTTTCAAATAGTTTAGTACCCTAGTTTAGTTTAGTACCCTAGCCTGGCAATCCCAAATCTGACAGTCTGGGGAGTGATGGACTTTAGAATCAATGTGAAACCTAAGAGAGCTCTTTCTTAGTATCAGACCTGAAAATAGTTCTTTTATTTAAGAATTACACTGCAGTATTGTACAGAATTGTTGTCCTTCGTGATGGCATGTGCCTATTGTGGTTTTCTTCTTCACCCAAAGCATCCCTTTTTTCGTGGTGGCAATAATTTACATTTCATAGGTTGATTCACCTGTCAGTTTGGCTGATGGTTGTCAGAGAGGCAGTCTAGAAGATTGCTGTCCAGCAGAAAGCAAAGGTGATGACAGAGATAAATCTGATGTCCAGGAAGTAAGAACAGATCAGCAAACAGTGGAGAGTACGACCATCTCTCTTCGGAAATGTCTATGGAATCCCAACGAGTTGTCAGGTGGGAATGACTAAAACTTTCTTGTGTTGTGACTAGACTAAATACCAAGTTTTTATAGTTTGGGTAAAAATCTACTGATGGAGGGAATAGAGATTGCAAAATAGGCAAAATTTTGGAAAGAAGATGTCAAAATCCATACCTTCACTTCTCTTCACTCTTTGAAATCTACCTTTGAAAGAAATGTGTTATTACTGTCAGTAAAGTACAATAAATGTCTTGTGACATCATAAACTGTCATCTGGCTTAAAAGATCAGGAAAACTCATCTGTGTGTATTCCATGGAATCATGTTGGAAACTGTTTTCATTAAGATGTTCTAATCAAACTTTTCAGACTAATCATGATGATTCGTTAGAAACATTGTATACTAATAATGGTTCACATGTCCAAAAACCTGGAATTTATGGTTATAACTGAACAATGGTAATACTAATAAAATACTTTAAATATAAGTATACAGTGTATAACTTTAATTGAAGCACTTACAGAAGTGTTTCTTGGCATTCTTCTGTCATTCTATAAATGGTAATGGATTAATGTTCTGGGGTGTCTGACTGTTTAAAAATAGAGATGCAAAGGCCAGTAAGTGAAGCAGATGTTTGGATACCATCTTGAAATTTAGTTAGGATTTCATGACAGAATTGGAGTCAAAAGAAATCCCTTGATTCCTGCTCCTGTTTTTAAGATGAGTTCTGGTATACCAGTACATACTATATTTTAGTATTATTATTTTTAAACTAACCCATTGCAAGGGCTCTGCAGTGATCCCTAATTGACAAAAATTTATCTGGTTTATTGTGAAAGGCTTTTCCCTCTGTTTTTCAGGATGCAGCTCTAATTCAGATTCTGGAGATGAAAGCACTGAAATACAGATGTTGAAATTCTGTGAACCTTCCCCAGGACCACCAAGTAATGCAAAGTCAGATAATACCTTACAAACTTCAAAATCCTGTGTGACATCCCCAGGAAATCCAGGTAATGCAAAATCAGATAGTACCTTTCAGGTGTATAAAATGAGCAGTGCAATAAAACTTTTTCCTTTTCTTGTTAATGCTTCTAAGAGAGGTTGTAATGGTCATGTATTTGTGTGTAAATTATTATAGTTATGAAAGAATACTGCCAATTGAACATGTATATTAATTGTGCTAGTCAGGAAGTATTGGATGAATTCTTTATTTAGAGATTGCTTTATTAGTAGATATTAATTTTCTTTAATACTCTAATATAATTTGAGTTTTCCATAGATTCAATCAGTCTACCTAAAGCTTCACTCAGTAATTTAAGATTTAAGTCTGCTGAGTTCAGGCCAGCTGAAATAAGTTCTCTTTTTTTACCATCTGTCCTTGGGTCCATCTGTCCTCTGTAGCTCACTTAGACTTTATAGCTTTCCCCTTGTTGTATTCCTCATCTTTTTATGACATAGACTAATGCATCACAGTAAATGCTTGGATCAATGGCTATGTAAAGCACCTGACCTTAAAAGATTAGAACATGAAATAGAGTGTTGCAGGACTCCAAAACCTGTAAATCTGTGGGATTAGGGACAGTGCTACAAGTGTTTCCTCTACTCTTAATATAGAAGCCATAAACGAGGACAGAGAACAAGGATGCTATAGGAAGGGGAAAGGTAAAAGTTATAATCTGCATAATTATGAAAAAAAAAGAGACAATATAGTAATCTACTTTAATTAAGTAATGGTAGTTTCCATCATGTTTCACAGTTTTTCGTTTTTTATAGCAACATTTTTCCAGAACCAGTATCAGAATCTGGTTTAGGTAGACATAAGACTGAAACTTCTCTAATATTTAAAGGAAGAGATATCACAGAGTTTCTCTTGACCCCCAGAATTATTAATTTCATAATGTGTTCTACCAGTCAGGCTGAAAAAATTATTTTATATTTTTAAACTCAATTACTTATGCTGATACTGTGGAGATGTTGTCACTATTCCATTATAAATTTGAATCAAACCACTTTCCCAAAATAGGTGACTTTTCCTCTTGCACACCTCCATATCCCATTGCTATAGCTCAGAGTTTGTTTGGGCACTCTGTTGCAAAGACTTGCGTATTTTTCCCTGCTACAAACAGATTTAGAAATTAACATATGTTTGAAAATGTTGTACTCTTGTCTATGGGTGTTGCCAGATTAGTTGAACTGCTTTTTAGTGTTTGTTTTTTTGACATGCTTCAAGCTAACATTAATTTTAAATATATTCTCCAGAAGACTCTTCTGACTTGGAATGTTCTGAAGATGCAGATATAAATGCTCAAATTCAAGCAGCTATAAAGAAAATGAATAAACTCGACACAATACTTGAAAAACAGAGTTTTAAGGAAAAAGTAGTTAAAAAGCAAGGCAGAGAAATGAGGGCAATGCTCTGGGAAGAACTTCAGGTTAGAAGTGTTCTCCTTATTTTGTGACTCATGTATCTTAGAGTACTGTCCTACAGAATTATCGTGTTTCACAGAAGCCTTATTATTAAGTAACTCACAGTTGGCTAACTAAAATTAAGAAATGGATCTTAAAAAGTAAGATTGGATAGTTTTTAATACATGGTGGCTAGGCAGGCTTTGAAAGAAGGACATGGTCCTTAAAAATTGATGAGAAAAATTGCCAAATATATAGCTGTCTGGGTGTGGTTTACTAGCATAATATTATGCTTGAGTTCTCCACTTGCAAGGAGGGTAAGGTGTGTCAAGAGATAATGTCTGTGAACCCTGGCTGGAAAGCATTTATTCTGCTCAAGTGGGATCCTTCTTAGGCCCAGCTATTTCAGTAGTGCCTGTTGAAGAAATTAGAGATGCCACCTGAAGAAGGCATAAGAATGCTACAGCACAAATTCCTTTACCCTATTCCTATCCTGGCCTCTAGCAGTTAAATGCCTTAAAACAAGTTAGTATTTCCTTTATTTACATGAATTGAAATGTGAGTTGCTAAAAACTATGATTGGTTTGACTGCATTTTTCATAATTTCATTGGATTTGGATTTGGATTTGGAACCACATAATTACAGAACTTTGTCAGGAGAAGGGGGTCTCCACATAAAAGACAATATGCAACAGAGGCTTTAAAGTTTCACCATACTTTTGTCATAACTTCAGGAGATATTCAGATAACCTCAAGAAGAAAATAAAGTGAGAAGAGTAATTTTTAATAGGGTCTGAAGTTTATTAGATCTGATAAGCAGACAATATATTTCACTTTAAAGAATTTACTTTAAATACGTGCATGTATCTATAGACACACAGTTTATTTCTTTTGAATAGTCTATCAGAACCACAGGAAGCCACGACGAGGTGGAAAACACAAACCAGTTTTTAGCTTTGTTCTCATCGTGGCATGATACAGCTGGTAAGTAAAGAGAAACAGAATTGTGGTACAGACTATCTTTTTTCTTTTTGGGGAGAGAATAAGGATTTGAGGTCCGGTTATAGCTGAGCAAAATGGTTATTGCTGAGCAAAAATCTCAGATTGAATGTTGGAAGTACATACATAATAATGGTAGCAGCATGGAGTTAAAATATTTCAGGAAAGCTTACTATTTACAATGTAACCTGCTTTTATTTCTATGCTTTCAGGTTGCTAAGGGAAGAAAACAATTTGATATGGGTGATATTTAGACAGTCTCCAGTAGATGTCAGGATATATTGAAATAACAGCAGACAAGCAAGACTATATGACTGCTAACTCCTTTATTTCAAAAGTAACTCCTGTAGAGATCATGTGCATCATGTAGTTTCTGGTGTATTGCACTGACAAAACTGCATAGTTTAGATACATGGTTTTCCTCCAGCTTGATCTTTGTCTTTTCTGTATCATGCTAGTGCCTTACTTTTCAGGTCTTATTTATATTGGTATTTATTTAATTAAACAAATGTCTTGATGGCTACCATGGTTGATACTGAAATACAATACAGTTCATATATTTTGCTTGTCAGAACCTCAATTTGTTAGAGCTTTATTAAGTAAATTATATATGAGAGTTATTATAGCTTTAATGTAGCTATGAAATCATTAGTAACTTAAGTGTTCCAAGCCTTTCAGGCACAACAAAACCTTCTGACACACTCACAGCAGAAGTGTCAATCAGGAGTTAATTAAACAGCCCTAAATTCCTTACCCTGTGCTCTGTTTAACTAGATCATTATTTCAGTTGAGTCCATTACACTTCATTATTACTGGTTATTGTATGTTTTTTAATTGTGAAAATCGTATGTAATTCATATGGTTCTTTGCAATATGAGTCCTTTTCTGTAAGTGCTAAGTGTATAGACTGCAACTTACTGCTTTAACTTATATTTCCAGTTGACACATAAGAAAAGCACACACTGAAAAGCATAAGAATACTTCAATTGATTTATTTTTTTCTTTGAGTAACTGAAACAACTAGGATGCTTGAACACTGTTTTTCTAGACTATGCCCTTGACCTAAGCCTCTTGGAAGTCTAATATTTCATGCACAGGCAGACACCAGCTGTGAAAACCTGGATGCTTTATTCTCATTCAAAGTTTTAGATGACTTGCCACATGGTGTCTGCAGAGGCATTTGAACTTTAGGGCCTTGGGCTATATCTTTGAGAATGTGATGAATTGTCTTCTATGGGCAGTAGTTGTTCAAAAACACAGCCATAAGAAACAGCATACAAATGACTCAGACTTTACACTTTCCCCCTTCTTTATTTCTTGAGAAATACAATGCTTATGTCATTTATCCAAGTGTATTTGTTTACTTTCCAAGTGTGAGGTTTTATAGTATGATAGACATGATGCTAGATCTTCTTTAAATATATTTCAATTAAATTTTACTGGAAAAAAATTCCTTACAGATCCCTCCCACGCTAAAGAAGATGAAATACCTACTTCAGTATTTCACACACACACAAATCCTGAAGATTATGATTGCTATAAAGCCCAAGAAAACCAGGGTAAGCTTTATTAATGGTAGAGTTTGTATTTTTAGAAATGGCAAGACAACATGTACAATGGGTGGGTTATGAAGACTCAGCCTTTGTGGCAAGGCCAGTGAAATGGGAAAAAGCATGGTTGCTTACTGGAACAGTGACAGTTCTTGCCTTTTTTGCAAATGAAAGAAGAGAACAGCTTTGTGACTTACCTAAAACATTTTACTCAACATGCTAAGAAAATCTTTACTTTTGGGTTTATAAAACCATTTTTCTTTAGTTTCAAAAGGAAGACGTGTGTAACTGATATATTGTAAAATGTATCATTGATTCTTCATGGCAATTCTTCAAAAATTTATCTTTGCTATTACTCTAAGGTATCGTAGCTTTTATTAATAAGCTTATATTCAAGAAACCATCTAGAAATGACAAGTGGTACTGAATCTAACTGCAACTGTTCTGTATTTTTTTTGTTTTCAGCAGAAATTGTATGGATTTGTGTCAAACATAAATCTCCAGAAAACTTATATTTGCTATGCTGATTATTGTGAAGTCTGCATTGCTTTTATGAAATAAGTACCTTCTGGCAAAACTGAAACACCTGCTGATTCTTTTAGAGACCATGTATTATCATGCACTGCAGAGACATTTCAAATGCTGTTAGTGGTGTAGTGTGTCCAGCATGTCAAAATAAATGGAATTGTACTTGTATGCCTCTATTCTTTCCCAATTTGAAATTCAAATTTGTGTGGTTAGTAACTTTTCACATGTGTTGTGATATAGGAATAATAGCTTCAACTGCCATTGCTATCAGCTGCACTTACTTATTTCTTTGTCAACTACCATTCTATGTAAACAGAAGGAATCTATCTTCCTGGTGAATGGCTAAGATGACAAGGACATAATAGAAGTGCATTCCTCAAGGCTGAAGCATCAATGGCAGCAATATCTCTGCAGTTTGTAGAATGTGACTGCATGTTTTAATATTTAAACGTGGAACTCAGCTCTTTTATCATTTTATCACTTGTCTTAGTTCCCCAGTATGTGACCTAAACTTTGTGGGCTGGAGCTTTTAATTTCTCTGTATTTCTACCATGTGTTTTCATTCCTCCCTTAAAATAAAGATTGACCCTCAGCTTCCTTCTTCAAAATTTCTGAGTTGTGCTGGAGTGCCCTTGAATAAGAATAGCAGGTTTCATTACTGGTATTCAGTACAGCATTGGCTTCTGGAGCTTCCAGTACAGGCATGGTTGGGAGTTGCTATCACTTGCACTATTTTGAGATGTTCTGCACATTCCTTCTTTGGGAATGCATGAAGTAGAGATCGCTTACAGCTTGTGACCAATATATTGCTTTAAATGACTTTTACTATTTCTGCTGGAGGCTTTTGATGTGGTGTCTGAATAGCTAAGACTTATTGTTTTGGTTGCTTTTGGATTTCTGTGTCACAGCTGTCATAAAGGCAGACCTTGAACAAGAGGAGCTGGTGAAGAAGAATGTACACTCTAGTTTTATGCTATTACTTCATCAGTCTCATCAAGATTTATACCAAATCTTTGAAAGATGTGCCAAATCTGCCAAAACGCACATGCAAAATTTGTTTAGCTGCAATCTCTCTTCTAATTGCCCATGGCAGTCTTCAGTGTTTTCTTTGTCTCAGTGATCCATGTCTGTCCCTTCTTTACTTCAATGTTCTGAGATGTTCTGTATGACAGCTCCCTCTCAAAAAGGCTATTCTACAGTCAAGTGAAAGATATCGCTTAAAAGTAATGTATATCTTGTGTGTTATGTTGGTGTTTGGTGTGTTCTGCTCGTTTCAGGATGCAGCTTGTCATATTTATATTGATTGTTAAATTCCTATATGATCCATTTCCTTGACACATGATGTTGCCTGGTAATGGTAAAGAAAGTTTAGGATGCTTGTTGTACATTTGAAATGTCAGGGGATTTCTTGGTCAGACCCAGCACCTCAGTCCTTTAAGGTTTGTGTGTAAAGGATGCATGGATTCATTTCATATCTTTGGGAGTTTGCTTTCATTATATTCATTCTGTTAAAGAGTTCTTTCCATATGGCCTGTCTTTTGTTATCTAATGTCAAATTCATTTTTTGTAGGGAAATGACCCACCCATTTTTCAAATTTCTGCTTTCCAGAAAAGTACCATGCCTGCTTTTGAAGTAGTTCTTGAGATTTAGAAACTGATTGCATTTACTTAGACTTGTTATTTAATGTGACAAATATTTGCTATTTGTAGAGGAATTGTTATTTTAAGCACGGTAAAATTCTCTGAAAAACAGAATCATGCCCTTTTTTTTGTCATGGATGGAAACCTATTGTTACTAGAATATCATGTGTCTGTTTAATAAATTTACAGCTCTATGATGAATTTTATTTTTTAACAAAATTTGTTTTATAAGCTGTGTTATAATAATATCAACTATATAATCTGTTTTTCAGCTGTTTTATTTAGAAAAATGTACTTGATATGTCTCCAGATAGTTCTGTGGTTTTCAAAAAAATTGTTGTCTGGTTTTGTAATGATGAGAAAACTGCAATGATGATGGGGTTTGAAGGAATGCCGTGGCTTTTAAAGCCACCGTGTTTAAAATTTTTGAGGTCAGAAATCCAAAAGTAATTTAGCCTTTGTAACATTGAGTGATCTCATATAATAAAAAGTTGAAAATGAAATTAGATTTTGGCAATAGTATGTTTTAAATATAACAATATTATTTACATAAATAATGAAAAGATCATACAAAAAGTTTGTCTATTGATTCTATATGTTTGCTAAAGATTTGAATGGGATTGATGTTATTACAGTTCTTGTTGAATGAGATTAGGAATGATTGTAATGTAGCAACTTTTCTTCCTCAAACATCAGATTATCCAAGTGAATTAGAAACAGAAAAAACAGCAGAAAAAATGCATAGCAAAAATAAAACCAGCCAGCATTTCATTAAAAAGAACATTGAGGTAAGCATTAAAACATAAAATCAATAACATTTTTTTAAATGTTAGCTAGAAATTAGTCTATAAGTACTTTTGAAGATAGTTTTCTTTTAAAATCAGGAACTTTTGAAGTTAATTAGTCATAAATGAAAAAATTACCTTTCTGTTAAAACTGCTGATTATGGCAGAGCTCTGTATTAGGCAGTTCTCAACTTGGGTGCTCATACTGTTTAGAATAATACTGCTTCTATGCATTTAATACAGTACTGGAAACTGAATTGTTGTGTTTGTGCCTGGATATAGCTTTTTTTAAGGGCAATATTCCAAGAATTTAAAAAAGAATTATTTACTGTTAAGTTAGAGGACAATGTCCTGATGCATAAATAAGGGATAGATATACAGGTTGTTCATGGGTAGCCTGGATGGGACCACTCTTTGTCAGAAAATAGATCTCTTGATTTTCCTGCTTTTTTTTATCCCAGTGAGGACTTAGTAGGTATAATGATTTTTTCATCCAGTGAAAAATATTTGCCTCCCTGCTATCTCAAAGACTATTATAAGATTATAAATTTATTATATGTAGGCTGCTACATGTTTCTCTTAGTGTGATAATTTGTATTATGGAAATAAACAAGATCTGGCTGTTAATTTCATAGAGTCTAAAAACTTTGTTTTGGAGGTCTTTGAGTTAGTGGAGTTTTAAAGTATGTTTTTTTTCTTTTTGTAAATATTTCAGCTAGCAAAGGATTCAGGAAACCAGTTTGTTCTGCTTGAGGGAGAAAGGAAAAGACTAACTGAACTATTGAAAGATACAGAAGATGGAACTGAAAAGCAAGATCTTGAGGTATGACAAGTTTAATCTGTACTGTTCTGTTGTATTTGGCTTATTTTTACAGTAAGTCTAAATTTGATCTTAGTCCTACCATGAAGTACCCTACTGAGATATGAGAGAAAAGATGGAGAAATCCTGTTGAATTTGTCTCCAAAAATGAATTCTCATTAGTTTCTTTTTTAATTTTACTAACAGCAGAACCTGAAAGAAAAGTTAGGCACAGGAGGAAGGAACCTTAGAACTACACTTGGAGAAAACTATCTATTTCTTTTGCATAAAATGTGAAGTTGTGGAGTATTAATCTGAGTGGTTAGTGCTGTAGTCTCAGGGAGAAAGGCCAGCAACTGCTTGCAAAAATCTCCCAACAACAGTTTTTTGATGACTTCAAAATGGAGCAATTGGGGAAATACATATTTATGAACTTGTGTTTCTATTCAGAAAGGTAATGTGACATCTTTTTGTGGCTTCCAACTCAGTCTATTTTAAAAGAATATAAAATCTGCTTAAGCATTAGGTATCTATGCTTTAACATAATATTGTTAAACAGTGTACATTCTGCATACTTCAGTGACTAGCAGGAGCTGAAGTGAGTAAAAATAATCCTCATGGAGAGTAACAAAGAGTATTTGATTGTCCCATCAATCGCTGTTTCTAGGAGATGGTCTTCAGTCTGATAAATGTCATCATTTAAAGATTTGAAGATGTTTTAAACAACCTTCTGTTAGTAAACATAGCTTTCCGTCCTAGTGAATAGTGGCTTTTTAAATAATTTATTTTACTGATTGCAAAAGTATTATCTCAAAATGTGTAGTTACTAGGTTTTCTTTCTCTTTAAGCTAGTGTCTGTCAGAATTTAGAGACATTTATGCAGAGTAGCTTATGCAAATTCCAACTAGCAGCGTGTACTTTTTTTGGCATCAGGGCAATGGAAAAGTGTAACATTTTTCTACATTTTGTATTTGGCATATGTCACTGTCATGTTGTCATGTATTTATAGACATTTTATTGTTAATATTAGATATGAAGTAGATCATCTCACAGGATGTGTGTTGCTGTATGTTCATAATACCATGGACAAAATGGTAGTTTGTGGGTTACTCTAGTCTGTACTAGATAATTTCTTTAAGAGAGAAAAGCTCCTAACTCTCCTATCGAAATAGAACAAAAGAAAAGATAATAGTTACTTAGACCTGTCTAGTCTAGAGATGGATTCGTCCTCTCCCACATTTGAATTTTATTATGGGTGAAGCATTTCCTGTGGCTACTTCATAACAAAAATCATGAGGAAATTATCAGCTAATGACTAATGTAGACAACTTCAAGCTGGCCCAGGTAACTATCCAGCTGATGGCCTCTTTCATCTTATTTTATTCTGACTTTTAAAAAGCTGGTGCAATCACATTAGCTGAAATAATGTTTTGGAGGCTGTCAATCAAGGCAGATCTGGTTATGCTGTATGAATTCCTCTGTGTGGTGTAATGTGGATTAGATAACCTTATTTGACTTGTAGTACTATATATGCCAAATATCCAGACAGCACTTCTCATTTTTTGAAAGAATGCTTTATGAGTGTTTAAAATAATTTAGAAGTACACATATTCATGCTAATCTAATTGTCAAAGCTAAAGCTTCAGGGGTATAATTTGTTTCAGATGTTCCACAGAAAGCACTGACTGTGCTGTTATAAAAGTATTGTTCTGAGTTAACACACAGGAAACATTGACAGGACAGAAGCTTATTTTCCAGGCAAAGCTATCTTGAAAATACAAAAGAGAATGTGTGAGTCAATTTCATCCTGGAGTAAAATGAATACCGGGGTAATTTGGATATTTGGAGTATGGCATACAGTCACTGAGCTGTAGCTAATGAGCCCAGTTACATCTTACTGGACTCCTATAGAGTCTTTTCTGTGTTTTTCACTGTGATCTTCATTCTCTGATTGGGAGGTGGTTAACATGACACAAGTGTAGTATCATGCTGGATACTTATGCTTTGGTGGTCACTGTTTCACCTGAACAGATGTTTCCACAAAGCTGGCAAGCATCTAAGACATTTGTGAGTGGCTGTTTTGGAGTCAGCTCAGATCTGGTCAGGCTCATTAGTTGTGTCTCATCATACTTGTATGGGAAAGAATTAGAACTGATTTTGTTTCGGAAAAAGGATGACTCTCTCTTGACTTTCTTTTTTTCTTTCTCTCTCTTTTTTTTTTTTTTTTGCATTTATTATGAAGATAGTTTATGACAGGTGTGCTTTAGGGTAATGGGGATGAACCACGAATGACCTCATAGCAGTAGTATTGTAATGGGAAGCTGATATTTCCTCCTCTTGTATGGATGCAATTGCTTGAATAGCCAGAGGACTAATCTGGAAGCTGGAAACAAATGGTGGACATGAATTTCTTGCAAGACAGATGTTAGAGTCTTAGGGCAAGGTGCTGGTCCTATTCTGGTAGAAAGAGAAAGGAAACCAGCAATACACTCATGTCCTTCCACACGTCCTTGCTCTTCTAAGGTCCTATCTAGTGTTTCATTGTGGTCAGGACAGAGATGAAAGCTGCTACTCTGATACTCAGTGAATGGGGGTTGTGCACACTTGCTTCCCTGAGTGTGAGGCAGGGAGTGACAAGTTGCTGTGGAGAACCTGCATCTGTTTGTGGGTATGAGCTCATTTGCTTGGTCTAAGTGGCCCAGCTCACTCATAATATGCAAGTGTATGTAGTAGGAGTATATATTCATATGTGTCATTCAGGTGTTAACTGCTACCATGAGGAAAAAGTCACGTAAATCATGATCAGGAAAAGAACTCTGTGCTTTCTGTCTCTCCTAGAGTTTCTGTGGTAACATATAGGGGTTCTAGAAGGATGGCAGCTACTGAGCTCAGAGCAGTTCCTTTGATTTCCTATGAATGCCTTGTTTTCTGTTTTCTCCTTTGGTGGTACCTTACATGTGTCACATCACGTCTCATACTCACCTTTTGAGATTTGGCTCCAGGTGGTTTCTGACATAGTATCAACCTCTGCAGTTTCATTCCAAGCCAAGTTTTGGTCATGCTTTCTCACTTTATGACTCCTTTATCAGATGGAAAGTGGTTGTCCATTTAAGTTGCTCCTTGATTATATTTAAAAGCGGTGAATGTATTAATGTCTCTACTTGTACTGTCCATAGCTGCTCTTAGGTTTGCTAGGGACATGAATATTTGAGACATTTTAGCTGTGTACTGAGATGGATGAAAATGTACATTTTATTATTAAGTATAGTTTATCTGAAATATAAATCATCTTGATGTGCAACTGCCCATAAAGTCTGCTTCCTTTACAGATGAGGCTTAAGTGTTTTCTGTACTTCCAGCAGGAGAATGTGTCTGTCTGGCAGGCACCAGGAGAAGGATACACACCTGAACCAATGGAATTTCAGCTCCTGAATGAGATAGACAATAAGCTTCAACTACTACTATCTGATGGGGAGTTTTCTGCTCTTTCCAGATCTAGCTCAAAATGTCCAAGCCTGACATATCAGGTAGGCTGCAGATCAGAGCTCATCTGCAGATATTTTATTTGAAGTATGTGTTGAGATCAGTACCACATGTGTGTATTTGTATCTTTTGCATTTTTCTTAAGGATCCTCTATTTATTCATAAAGTCAATGTGTTAAGAAATGAAGGGAGAAATTTTAGCTATGAAAACAATGGAAAAATAATTTGTTGCTATTTTGAATCATATCTAATTCGAGAACTGTCTAGTTTTTAACAGTTGTTGATTCCACACTTCCAACATACTTTATAATTTTTTAACTGCATGAGGGTGTTTTTTTCAGCATAGAAACAAATTATCCATGATCATTTACCTTTGGGAATTAGAATTAGATTTCTTCTTATCTCAGGATACCAAAAGTGCCTGTTCACTTATGATCTGAAGGATAAGGCAATGACTGATAAGCAATGTTAAAGACTGTAGAAGATAGATTGAAATTGTATGTCCCTTGTTTTTAATGGCCTTTGTTTTTTGCCTTGCCAGCAATATTGAGTTTTGAAGATTAAGAGTCAAGGTCTCAGCCTTGAGAAATGATTGTTTGAACTTTTTACTTAGAAGACTTCAATTTATCCCATGCCCTGGTACTGTTGCCTCTAATATAATGGGGTTTAAAATAAAAAGCCCTAATTATTATTTTGCATTTATTTGCACAAATATTTATTTCTGAAATATCTTCGTTTTATGGCCAGAACTGATATATGAGAGAATATCTGTAAAAATGTTCATTCGCAAAACTGTTTTCAGTTACCAGTGTATGAGAAAAATCTCTTTGAAAGGCTAAAATACCTGTGGGTTTGTTTTACTTCTCCTCCTGTAAGGGCACTTTAATGTCATTTTTTTTATTGCCTTCTTTCTGAATGTGAGGCTTTGTTTTACCTCTAGCAGTATTTTCTGTAGCTCAGCTCCAGAGGAGTCACATTTTGCTGTTGATCATTTACCAGGTGGGCTCTAATGTGTGAAAAAGCCCCTCCCCCTCGTTGGTAATCACAGTTAATACACAGTTGTTACCCTGAGCTCTCCAGTGATTGCTTGATCTTGTGTTCAGTGATGTAAGACACCAGCTTGAAGTTAATGTGATTTGCCTGTGATAGTGAATGCTCTGTTTGGAAATGTTTGCCCAAGTTACTGTTGTTGCATTCTTTCAGGTAATAGCCCAAAAGTATTTGAATAGAAACTTGCATTTAGGTGTATGCTAATTAAAGAGTAATGCATTATCTTTTTTGAGTAATATTAAACCTAACAACCAAAAAGAAGTAGTTAGTTCCTTGTTACCTTTCATTAGTGAAAAGCAGTTGCCTTTCAGTTTTGTTTTGCAGCACGTAAAAGGCTTTCAGACATTGTAATTCTATGATTTTAATTTAGAATTATCTTTGAGTTGCATATTATGAAGATGCACATTCTTTTCTTCCAAGAATTGCATTCGATATAGCTTTCAAAATGCAGACATTTAATCACTGTTGCCTCAGTGGGAGATGTCCTTTTTGTCACTTGTGCTTACTTTCACAGGATACAGGAGCTATTCTCTCATTCTGAAATCTTAATAATGGGCTTTAATTATCCTGCAGTACCATAGCTGAGCTGTAACAGAGGGGCAGACATGTTCATCTTTTTGTGCAAGGAGTCCAGCTGGATTAGGAATGCTTTTCCATGACTAATGTTGTCTTTTACATGGAAATGTTTCTCATCAGAACTGCATTTCTCTCTGAAATGTTTCTTTGCTCTGGTGCCAAATTAACGAAATATTTTAAAATGTTTGTCTTAATTTATTCTTCCCCCAAAATATTAAGTAAGTTGAATGTAATCCTGAAAGGAACAGGAAAATGATAGACTGAAGAATATGAGGTGTAAGACTGTATGTGATGAGTACAGTTACCAGCTTGAAAAACTGGAAAGCCATCTGAAAATTAAAGCAAAAGAAGATGGTATTTAAAGAAACAAAAATATTTGTAGGCTTGGTTGTCTTAAATCATAATTCATATGTATTACAGTGAGGAGTTCTTTCATAACTGATTGTTTTTTTTTTTAATCAGGAAATTATTCCCTTTTTCTATGGTAGAAGTGTACTACAGTTAACAGGTTAAGACTAAATAAATTCTCAAAATTCAGAAGATGCACTAATTTTTAAATTAATTAACTCCTTTATAGCCTACACTTTATGCCTGTGCTTTGCCAAAACAGATGAATTTCACAGATGATACCTGTTTCAGAGCATGGTTAGAAGCAGGCCAATAAACTGATCAACCAGTTTTATGCCTCAAGATGATTGTATAATACCAATATACTTCATTATGTGGGATTTTGTTATTATTTATTTATAAAATTTGGAGAAAAGGCAGCACGACAAATAATTGCATATATTTCAAATACTGCATTTTGTCTTTGTCATTATGTTTGTTACAGCTTTGGCTCTTACTAAGTATTTGTATTTTCCCTCATGTAAAATGTTTAACAGTTTTATTTTCTACAGATCTAAAAATATGATAGACGAAATAATCTCAAATGGAATTCTGCTATGTACATGTGCTATATAATTGAAACATAACATATTCTGAAGTATGTGAAACATTGACAATAAAGTATTTTCCTTGATATAATACTTTATACATTTATTTCATTACATCTTGAGAAGAATGTTAAGAAATTAGTAAGCGGGGAAAAGCCTTGACTTTACTCATATTGTGTGAGTTTCTATCAGTTACTATTCAGGGATAAGCAAGGCTGTCACCCCTATTCTCAGAGCACTTTTATTGTTGTGGTAGAAATTAAGCATCCAAGTATTAGATCTAGAGACTAAGAAATTCCTCTTAAAATGCAAAGGGTAAGAATTATTTTATTGAAATATGTCTTGCCTGATAGTTAACTATTGTATTTGAAAATATACATAATGAAAACTATGCATTTGCAGAATTTGACACTGATGTATTATTCTAAGCATTTCACTATTTTCTTAGTAGAAATCAAAAATCATCTGTCTATGAAGCAACATAAAGTTATGTGGTTAACTTCTATCAATTATTTTCTCAGGAGTCTCTGGTTTATGCAAGCAGAAGCTTAGAAACAGTTCCAGGTGAAAAGGTTCTGCGAGACAGTAAGGAAAAACGTGATCAACAGAATCGTCTGAAAGAAATAGATTATCAGCTCGAATCCCTGGAGAGAAGTCTTGTAAGTTTCCTGTTTTTGTCCCATTTTTCTTCCCTCAGTCTGGGAACATCAGAGTTTATCATTCTATATGTCTTAAAATGAAATCAAGTTTTTTAACCTTATGTCAATTTCTGCAGGAATCCCCCAAGAAATATGCAGGCAAAAGTCTCAAATAATTTTTCTTAATCTGGGAAATCTTTTTTTTCAGTTGTAATGCATACTTACCTTTAATATAGGGTCTTTCAAAGTCAAAGACATTATCCTCCTTCTTCCCCAGAGGGGCATAGCATAAACAATAATATATAAATACACCCTAAAAGGATTTTTTTAAAGGCTCATGTAGTTCAGTGTTCTTTGTAGGACCAGGTCTGATGGGAATGTTGCATACACTAAGTTATTGTGGTAATCTTTCTTTGTTATCACTACATTGAAAGAAAAAAAGCATTTTTATGTTTGTGCATTGTAGAAATTAGTTTCTTATGTGTAGCTTATTTTAGAGTTTTCACTTTAGTAAGAAAAACAAATATATAAGTTTGTTGTGACAGACCGAAAATCCATGTAGTGTACCTTTTTCTCTTGGAGGTCTTTATTCAGCAGTAGGCTTACTGTCCACAATAATCAGACTTAGGAAAAGTATTGTTCCTGTTATCTTTTGTCACCCTCAAAAAAAGATCTCCAGTGCAGATCAAAGGCTTTGTGATTCAGGTGGCAGCATAACCACAGTGGTATAATCTCAATTACTTATAGCATTGTTCCTGTAGTTGCAAAAGGTTCAGCCACTCGACATTAGCAAGGTTTATTCTGGCAGTGCTGGAGTATATATGAAGTAAGGGAACAAAGACTTTGGATAAGGAAACAGTGATTGTTTTAGAGGCTGCTCATTTGTGTGTGTGTGTGACTAAGTAAGGAAACATATTTTATTCTTATTTATTCACAGTACCAAAACAATAGTAGAACTTCATTTTAATATACTATTCTTTAACTGTATTAAACAGTTAAAAGAGAGAGACAAATGAATAGAGGAAATCTGTGAACTTCAGTATATTGAGTAGGTTAATGTGTAATCAGATAAAGTAAGTCTGCGTATTGTCATATTTTTCTACTCATTGACCTTTGTATCACTTTTTGTAACTACTGACCTTGTTTATGAGGCAAGCACAATCTGAGGAAGTGTGTCTGGGAATTGTATGATAGTCTACAGCAAGCCTGGGAAATGCAGTGGGCTGCTGACTCATTCAAGTATTTTGTGTATAAATGGGTCAGTTCCAAATCTTGGTTGGGTTATAGCAGTTTTGTTTGGTATCACGTTACATGCAGACTCTTGTAATACACCACCCATTTTTCCTTGACTAGACTGTGTGTATTTAAAACTCTAAATTGATAGACAGTAATGCCAATTTACACTGTTTATAAATATAGAATGTCACCTGCACCAATGTGTAGCATTGCTGCCTGCTCTGCAGCATCTGCCAGGGCTTCTTTAGAGGGACACACTACCTTCTGATCACTTTCTGCTCTGTAGCATGACTGAGATCATGGCGTGTGGATGTGAAATATGTGAAGAGGAGATTTGTGAGATACTTCAGTTCTCAATGAAGGTAAAGAAGTGTTCAGGTCTGAATGCAAGTAGGTTTTTCCTTCTAACCGTACAGTTGAATATATAGAAAGGATACAATTTCTTGTTTGAAAAAAGAATAGCCTTAAAATAAGAGTATTTTTTTGTTTGTTTTTTTTTTTTTTAATGCAACACACATAGTTGAATGTTTTTTTCTTAAATCAGATAACTTATATGCAGTTTTGTCTGGACCTTGTTTCTGTACCAAAGTAATATTTTGGCAAATCTGGTCTCTGCCAAGACACTGCATGATGAAAAACCAAACTGAAAGCTTAAGTTGAGGAAGAGAGTACATAGACTGCATGTTTCCAGAATAATTTAATAATTTCTAGAAATACTGGTTTTTATTCAATAGGTGGCACTCTTCACTGTATGTCAGAAGAGGAATGCCTAGGCATAGTTCTAGGGGATATTTCAACTGGTAATAAAGTGGTAATTTCTGCTTTATAAAATTAAGGCTGTGGGATATTTGCCTCTCACTTGTGGCAAGAGTACATGTGTGCAGCTTTTAGCATTGTTATTTTTCTAGCTTTTTTTAAAATTGTGTATTTAAAATCCATGTGTTTTAAATTCACATTTCATTTCAATTTCTTCTTACCTTTCCTAAACCACTGTAATTTGCTATGTAAAATTATAAATAAATTCTCTGCTCTGAGTAGAGGAGGTGATTTGCCAGCCGTTAGGAGTGTTATTCCTGAATGTATGGTTATACTTGACAGTTGTAAAATACAGTATTTTACTAACTTAGTATCTGAGAGAACTTATGTTAAAATTTTGAAAAGTAACTTGGACAAAGTATTTTTTGTTTCTGGTTACTAGATGGAAATTATGAATAGTTTAACTAAACAGAATTTAGCTCTGTGTGTTAGGACATTACTTGCAGTAGGTATAAAGGTAACTCTATTTGCTTTCTTTGGTGTGTGTGTGGTAGAATGCTCTATTTTTTCACTACTGTAAAATGGATTATTTAAATTTATTTGTATAATGGTAATGATCTTCTCTTCAAGAGAACAAATACATTAATCATATTTCTGGAGGAGGCTATTTAGTAGGTGCTGGCTTCTGAAATTATAACATTTATGGGCTCCTCCACTACAGTTAACCTTATATGTACTGTAAGACTTCATGGTCTCAGCTAAATCTGGGAATAAACACACAAAACAAAGCTAGAAGATAAAACCTCAATCTAATTTACATTTAATATAAACACATAAAATCTGCTAAATATTGCACTTGATTAGTGAAACTAAGGGCTTTGGAATCTGAGTTCCTCCTTTACTTTGAAAAAAATTGTCCCTAGTGAATTAATATACCAAAGAATGTATTGTATGCATTGTTGAAATGCATTGTGAAATTTCAATCCAACTGAAATCTATCTGTACCGTGGTATCTGGGCCCTTGCTGAATTTCTTTTAGGTTTCAGTTTGACCTTAGTTCACTTGTTCTTCATTGGAAACCATGTCTGACTCTCTCCGCATTCTTTCATCTTTCAGTTTCCTGGAAACCACTGAGCTTATCTTTGTTTTGTGGATGGCATTGTTAACTGCTGCTTCAAAAAATACCCAGTTCAGCTGCCAAATGTGTGTTGCTGAGCATTAATGAAAAGAATTTTATATAGAAAGAATAATAAATTTAGTTATTTTTCAATTGTGGGTTTGTCTCGTTAGCCTTTTGTGATAATCCAGTGGCACGTTTGATGATGTGTTGAATTTCTTCATGGCAGATAGTTGGTTTAAATGCACATCAAAGCAAGCTATTATGTAAGATAGCTTCACCTTTGCTGGCTATTCGTGTGTTCATTTCTAATGTATTACTCTGGGAGTTGATTAATTCTTGCCAAAAGTCTACCTACACGTCTGTTTTGGGGTTTTGGTTAAGTATATAAAATCAAAAGTACTTCAGATGCATATTGAATATATATGAATGTAATAGTGTGTATGCACACATATAAATGCCAATTACCTCTTGGCATGATGGAGGTACTGATACCTACTTGAAAAAAAGCTGTCCTCTTCTAGTTAGTGCTTTTAAGACAGAAGCTAGTCTTAAATTTAAATTTATCAGATGTCTTTACACCTCTAGGAATCTTTTTTTTGCACAAGTTCATGTAATCTCATGGCCAAATGCATTGTGTGATTGTTAATTGTTAAGGTATTTTTTAATACCAAGTAGTTTTAGGTTATTGGAATAGCTGAAATTTGCAGAAAGGTGAGCAATTGGTGAGGATGATGAAGAACAAAAATAATAAGCATGACAATGCTGTCAGGAGCTTTGATTACCAGGAGCTTACTCCAAAAAGCATAATTCTTATCTTTTTGATGCAAAATAAAGTATATCTGTGGGGACATCTCAGGATAAAATTAATTATTGTCTGGTCCTGTAGAAGGTCTTGCATCACTTAAATCATCTACTGTTCATCAGGGTGATGATGGGGTTTGTTGTTACTCATAGTCTTGTTCCAGTTTTTGCCCTAGTGATTGAATTCAGTGTGCCTGATCCTGAGTCTGTATTAGGCAACTTCTAAAAAAGAAGAATAATTTCTTCCTGACCTCTGCCATAGTTCCTTTCTTCCCTTTTAAAGTGAAGAAGAGAGTAACATAAAGCTGTACCACATATCTGGAAAGTAATTTGTCAAGCAGACAATACTGTAACATGTCGTTGTATCACAATCTCTCCAGAAATTTACAACAAATGCTCTTGAACACGGAAACATAGCCACATTTTAAACTACTCTGTGCATTGGTAGTCATTGTAGACTATAGCAGATAAATAGCCAACATCTTTATTTTAATTCATATAGTATCATGTGGTATCTAGTTTCTAAATAAATGTGTGTTTGTCCATAAAAGTAGAAATTGTTTAATAAAACATTTTCATAAGATATTGCACCAAATAAAGGGAAAAAGGACAGCCTATCTAAATAGTGTTGAGATATGCCACTTTCTATGTTATTTTTCAAAAAGTATCTACCAGGTGCTAAAGTTGCTTGTTGTGCTGTTGTCGAGCTTCAAACAGATCTTGTTTATTCAGGTTTTACAAAACTTCATTCTAATTATGGGATTGTGCAGAGCTGTTTCAGAATGAAATGTGGTAGCATTTCCACCTGGGAAAATATCAGTGTGAAAATCTTATTTTCTTCATTTAGCAGCTACTACACATGAGAAGAGAGCAACAAGATTATATTTCACTCATTATTTAAATACATTTATTGTGTATTGATTGTATTTCACTGTACTGTGAATAAGAATGAAATGGCTGCTTAAAGTATTTATAAAAAATATTTTTATACTACTTGTTGCCTTAAGATTCAATAAAATTAAATAATTTTTGTACACATATTAAATTTTAAAAACTAAATTATTAAAATATTGGTCAGTTAAACTCTTAATGATGCTTCTAGTTTATT